ATATTAAGCTTTTTCTTTTTGTAAATTTTGATACCCTTTAGTTCATAATTGTTCTTTATTTCATAAATTACGGTTTCATATTTTTAATTTTGTAATTTCTGCATGCCATCTTACCAGATTTAAACTGATGATCTGTAATCCGGAAAAATCGATAATCCGGAATCGCCGAAGTCCCGACGAGTCCGGATTAACGACTTTTGACTGTATTGATAGTTTGGGAATCTTTCTAAAAAAAAACTTGTGAAAACATTAACTTGCACCTGCTATTTACTTTTCAATAATACTCACATGTTGTTTCCTTAGAATATTTTTAAAAATCGTTATTACTAGGCCATACTTCCAAAATTGTTTTCAACTATTCATCAATAATGTCATTTTTTCCTGTGTACCCTCTCCACCTAAATTCCAAAGAATATGATTGGAGGTAGTTTCGTATTATAGTGGCCCCAAAGAGTGAATCGCTAATCAATCTAGATGTCTTGCCACAATTATAAACAAAGTACTGACAATTACAAGTTGCAAGTTATTGTCATTTTCAGGACTGTTATAGTATCAGTAATTATAGAGTTAATCAAATCTGCATACTTCTTCTCTTCAGAGATGAATTCCTCATGTCACTGATCTTCAAATATTAAATCAAACCATTTACAGTGGCGCACATTTGTTTTTGGGCACTTCAGTTCATCACCTTCATTTGCAAATATCAGTTATTAAATATTAGACTGACAAAATATCTTTTTTATTTCGTGCATACTATAGACCATCTCTTTTAAAACCTGCTTCTTTTTGAAAAATGTATTCAAAATATTTCTTATTAAAGGAGTAGTTAATTCAAAAAGTTCAGAAAATAAATTCGTATTTGGACACTTTGAACGAGCAGTTTATAATTAATGAAAAATGAAAATAGCACAACATGCAATGCTTTGTTAGACACCCTTCAGATGAAATTATATTTCCAGCTGTCTTGGAATGGATTTAACTATTTTTTTTTTTTTTCCGTTAAAAAATGTTCCGTTTTATTCCATTCCTCCATAAAAATTGCTTTTAATACAGTTTTTGAAGAAATGCTCCATTTATTTTATTTTCTGTAACTTGCTCCACATATGTTTGATAGGATTAAAGTTAAAAAAGCATGGAGTTTTGATAACTTCAGGAGAGCTGTATGATAACCACAAACATTCATTTAGGACTTTATGTTTAGGGTAGTTATACGGACAGAATGTGAATGTATTTTGCATTCCAAGTTCTCTTTCAGATGCTTTCAGGTTTTCATTAAGAATATTTTTAGTCCAAAGGAAATAGCCCAGAAACAAAATACCGAAACGAAATTATTAGCCCTTCTGGGCTATTAATTTCATTTTGGCAATTTGCATCAAAAACTTTAAATGTTGGTTCAGTTTCCAAACTGTTGCCACCAAATATTATAGCCCTATATTATATTTAAAGGAATTAAATAATGAAGAATGTGCATAAATGTATGTTTGTTTCTTGCATTGTGATAAAACAACAGTACCTAGAGCCATCCAATTTTGAATTTGTTTTCTTATCGATTTCATATTTTATAACACTTTAACGTATTTTTGATTAACAAACTCGATGATTCCAAAACGAGCAATGGCAACACTATATGGGGGAGGGGGGTATCTCCAGCGCGCGACACCTTGTATCGGAAATTCTAAAGATATGTGCATTTTGAAATTGTTTTGTGATATTTCTGTTGAACTGAATTTTATGGCTTAAGTGTGAAGAACATGATATTTAATAAATAAAGGTAACCCACAAAACGTTAAAAAAAAAAAAAAAAAAAAAAAAAAAAAAAAAAAAAAAAATCCCTTTGGGCGTAACATAAAATCTGAAAGCTTTCAATTTTTTTTTTATATACTGAACCATATTATTTTTTATAAAAAGTAAATTTTCCATCTTAGAGGCAGCAAAGCACATGTAACTTTAAGCTTTAGAGTTGGCAATTGGTTTTTTGGGAGATTCAAATCTTCATTTGGCTTTTGCCTCAAAATTACTCATCGACTGGACCCATGTATACAGTACAAAGTTCGAAATCCTGACTCGTCAGGACTTCGGCGATTCGGGATATTTTCAGATAATAGATCATCAGTTTAAATCTAGTAAGATGGCATGTAGAAATTATAAAATTAAAAATATGAAATCGTGATTTATGAAATAATAAAGTATTTATGATCTGAAGGGTATCAAAATTTAAAAAAAAAAAAAAGCTTTAATATTTATTTATTTACCTTATTAAACACTTCTTTCAATGTAAGTTGTTTGAGTTGCTTTGTTTTGTGTACTAATACTCTCTCTTTAATTCTGGAGACAGACATAATCTCTTGTTTAGTTACATTGTTGAAATCCTGTAACTGCCATTTGGAGAATTCTAACTAACTCGTCAATCGAAATTTTCTCATTTTCAGTAACTTCTCGGTCACTTTCTTCACTACCGGTAGCAGTATTTTCTGGATCTAGAACTGTACTACAGGTTTTGCCATTCATGATATAAAAACTTCTTTTACATCATCTTCATTTATTACCGCTTCTCCACATTTCTCTACAAAATTCGTTAATTGGAAAATTTCACCTTTGTTTTGCAATATCCAAAAACCTTTAAAATTAGCAGCTATCATCATCAAATTTAGCTATCCTTCACTATACATATTTGGCTATGCATCATGAGCTTGGCGACTAACAGCAAGTTCTGATAAATTTTATCTTGCTTCTATCGCACACCGAGACAATTAAGCCTGAATTGTATTAGTTTAGTTAGTTATTATATTTATGTCTATGTCTTGCATATGCTTAAGGCTTATCAGATTTCTGAATAAATAAAATCCCACCTTATATTTAAGCCTTATTGAGGGCCGGCGCTAGATATCTTACCGCCTGATGCAGTCTCTGTGAGTCCTAAATTCTGCGATTGAATGCTGCCATACGAGCCCTGGCACTGGTTCTGGGTTTATGTGAATAACAAATCAGTTATGCTTAATTCAAATAGCCCTAAGTGTAATCTTTGGGTCTGTGAGCATCATTAACAAAATCTTATTTTTAGCATATGCAAAGAAATCTTTGGTAAATTTTTCCTCGTCAACATTTTTAGTGCATTTAACTTAAATCTGTAATCATCGCCAAGCGCAATGTCAACATAAAAGGTTATAACACTTCTTTATTATTCAATTACTAGCATAAAAAATTGTTTAGGCATCGCTACATGAATAATTACTCAATTTGTCATGTTTTGTTAAACATGCAGTGATGAAAGGAAAGTATAATAAATAATGATTCACCAGGTTGGCGTCAGATCAATGATGTATCTGTGTGGAATGTTTCGGTTTAAGATGTATACCAAGCAGATAAGCAGCAAAAGAGCCAAATTACTGATTGTACAAATGTAGGCTAAAATGATTGTTTTTTCAATAACTAGGTACTTTATTTAGCGTCGAAGTGGAATTAAGAATCGGGACTCTCCAGATGTTTTATTATGCATGGAGGGGGGAATGAAATTTGCATACATAAAGCCTATGAGAAAACGTTGTTTGTGGTTTTGAGGTCCAGATTTTAGATCATTCCGGATAATGGACGTCCAGATTTTGGACTTTGTACTGTATTAAATTTTGACTCATCTGCAAATATAACATTATTTCATTATGATAAATTATTGCTTACTGTAGAATTTGCATTGTTTTTATGTAAACTGAGAATTTTCTTCTTGCTGATCGCCAACTGTATCCATGTGTCCTTATGACTTCTAATAATTTTCAGATTAACTTCTATTACAAACTGTTCTATTCAAAAAGTCTACTGCAAGATTTACAGAACATATTTTTTTTTATTTGCATTTTGATTCCTTCATGTTATCTTAGAATGTAGCCCAGATTTCAATGCATTTTGAAGAGTTCCAAACAATTTTTGTCATTTTAGTACATAAAAGAAAGTTGAATACTTTGGATCAAGGATTTTATTAAATATATTGGATACATTTATCATTTTTAAAATCGTGAATAATTAACTGTAGAATAGAACATGTTAATTTTATCAACTTTCCTTGTTCACTTCAGATAGTTAATATATTTTGCTAAACAAGTAAAAATTTTCAAATGCAGACATTGATGCTTGTCATGTATTTTTATTTAAAACAAAAGCAAAAAAAAAATTTTTTTTTACAAAAGACATTGTCTTCCAGAGCATCTCAACAAAACTTTCGAGTGTCTGAATTATTCAGTGAGTTACCTGTTAACACTTTTAGAATAAGTTATCTTAGAGTAAAAAATATTTGATTATATTTATGTTGTAACAAACACTTTTTAGAAAAAAATAATGCATTAGTAAAAAATCTGGAGTCTATGTTTCAGCATTTAAAACAAGATCTGTACAAATAAATTTCAAAGATGCAAGTGTCTAAAAACAAATGTGAGCCTCTAATTATGGCATATTAATTTGATGATAAAAAATGAATTTTGGGTAATCATATAGTATGCTATATACCCATTTAGTTAGTTATTTCATAAATGATGCTGTTAAAATGCCATTTTTAATTTCAAACATGCCATAAAATGATGGGACAAAGAAATGGTTAAAACAGCAGTGAATTTTAGTGCTACTATTTAAAAAACGAACAACTAACTAAGAGTGGTAGATCACATATTGCATTATTACTGAATTTTGGATTTCTGGCCATGTAAATTAATTAATTGTTAGTTAAAACTTACTGATTCCATTGGTGTAAAAGTTATTTAAAAATAACATATTTTTTATTTGTATTTAACTTATTTTGCTTCCTATATATAAATGAATAGTTTATTTTATGAGAATGAATGAAAAGACTTCTTAACAATTTTGTAACAAAATTATTAATTTCTAAATTCAAGGGGCACATACAGTACATCTTAATAGTGCATAAAAGCTCCAAGCTGATGTTGGATATTATTCTGGCATGTTTAGCAAATTATTTGTAACTAGTTTATCTATATCTATTTATAACTGTTTCCTAGGAACAATGTGAAAGATGTGCAGAAATGGTGGCTTCAGGTGCAAGATTTGATTACTAAGGTGAGACATACTTTTTGTTTTGCATAAATTTAACAATTATTTGCACTTCCTTCACAGAATTTTAGAAGATTCATATTTAATTAGAATTGATCTCTTTTGTTTTACTAATTCATGAATTTACCTTTGTTTAAATGAGAAAGGAAACTAACCCTTTTTTTCTGAGTATTTTTTTATGTTTTACAACAGTTGCTTACCCCCCTTTCAACACCTCGGGCGCAATATGTTTCGGAACACGTTGGGGCGCATTAAGCCTGAGAGAAACTTCTTGATTTACTAAATGTTTTTATACATAAAAAGATTTTTCTTACAAAAATCAAATGCTATTTTTTATTATTATCTTCTACAAGTTGTAAAAATACTAAAGGAGCAATAAAACAATTTTTATAGTCTTAAAAGAAAACTATATATTAAACAAATTTTGTAAAATAACTTTTTTATAAAGTTGTACAAGACTAATTATAGATTTAAATTTAATTAAAACTTGAACATAAGTATAATCTCCCATTCATTTGATTGATTAGGAGATATGTGTCCGTTTACTTCTCTCTTCGGAGAAATGAAAACAGCATATGAGAGGCAAGTTTCTGTGTGACACGTTTTACACTCGTATTATCCTAATCTTCTCTTACGAGTCTCCAAATAGCATGTTTCACATTTGCATCTTTTTGGAGGTATCTGTGGCTTATCGTAATTTTGGTTGGGAGCATATCTCTTTAATTTTTGTTGTAAGTGTACTGACATTTCAATAGAATTCAGACTTCATTGAGCAAGTTGTCCAAACATAAGTTCATGAGACAGTTGTTTTATGAACAATCTTTTTTAAGAGCTGTGTATCCGTCACCTACATGTGCGATCTGAGAACTGATTGAAGCAATGTTCAACATTCTAAAATGATTACCATAGGCCACGGTTTTACATTCCGAAACACATTATATGAACCACACATTTTATCTATACAATATCTACTCTTAGCTTGGTTTCATTGTAGAAACTGATTATCTCTGGTTTCTGATTTTTGCAGTAGAAATATCAATAGCTTGGCCCTCATACAATGATGGTACAAGAAGGATTTTTTTTTTCTGGGGGGGGGAGGGGTAGGACACCAAATCATTACCATCACTACTGAAGCCAAAAATTACTGGAGTGTTGGGGGTCTGGCTTTGTCCTAAATAAAAATCAGTATTTTCTTCAATGTTGTCTTCTTCACTTCCCCTCTTGTTTTGTCTCGGATTTCTCTTCATGTTCCTCTACACCATCTTCTGAATCAATATAGCTTTCGACATCAAAATCTTCATCTTTGACATCTTTATTGTCTTCATCTGATACCTCCAATAAATGGTGAATTTCTTCAAGGTGTTTCTCAAATCAAACTTTTTTTGGACATTTTGAAGTATATATATTATAATGTACTAGCAGCTTCGCTGCCAGCCTTCGTCTGGCTTTTAAATGTACGGAAAAAATAGCTGAAGGCAAACAAATGTTAAATTTAAAAATGCTTAGAATTTTAAGCTGGAACAACTTCATAAAAAAGTTATTACATATCAAAATTACAATGAAATAGCATATCCCTTATACAAATATAATTATCCTAATAAATAAATTAACCATTTCTTTGCAAATTTAAGAACCTTAATGTATAAGGAGGTAGGAGGTTATTTCCTAAAAAAATCACTCCAAACTTTTCAATACTTAAAGACAGTGAAATGAGCAATAAATAACATAAAAGATACAAAAAACAAAAAATTCTGAAAAGAAAAGTATAATTATGATATGTTATCTTATATTTCAAGAAAAAAATTACAATGAAATAAGCTAGATCCCTAACAAATTAAGATCCTAATAAAAAAAATTAACCAACTTTCTTGCAGAAAAAAAATCATGCAAAACTTTTCAATATATTACAAATAGTGAAATACAAAAAATAGCATGAAAGAAACTCAAAACAAAAAATTCGCACGAATTTTACTGGCAGAAACTTTATCAAAAAAAAAAATCAATATGTTATATATAAAAAAAGACAATGAAATATGCCAATCTCTTAAAAACAGTGACATAAGAAATACTGAAAAATTGTTGCCAAACCCATTTCTAAAAGAATGAACTATCAAAATGATGCGATTTCATAAAATCTATCAACAACAATACAGGAAAGTGCAAAATCACATTTAAAGATGTGAGATGTGTACTTGGAGCTCATTTAATTATTAAAATTTTTTAAAAAATACAAAATATTATCACTTTTCCAAAATTCTTTTTGTAAAGCAGTGCAAGGATAAAAGTTTATTGTCCAAAAAGAAAGAAAATAAACTTTTAGAAAAATCCTTGAAAAGCGTATAGCTCCCTTGTCAAATAAATTGATTTATCGATTATTGAAACACGAAATATTAAGTCGTAAAAAGAAGTGCGACGATTCATGATGATGGAAAATGGGTGTGTAGAGTAAAATCTCGCTTCCTATAGCCACTATGTCTCAAAAGACGCGATTTCGTCACAAAACATAAAATTAAACATTCTAATCGAATTTCGAAAAACGCTCGAGGTCCACTGGCTCTTGCACCAAATTTTGTAGCTGTGGGTATATTATTATGCGCAATGCAAACGAAAGACACACACACACACACACATAGACTCTTTCTTTTATTATATGTAGATATTAATATTTGTATAAAGCGATATTGCTTATTTCATTGTAATTTTTATATGTAATACATTTAAAAAAAAAATTTTTTTTTTTTTTTTTTTTTGAATGAATGAAGTGTTCTGCAGAAAAATTCTGCTTGTTTTTAAATTTAATGTTTAGTAATACTCCCTTTGGCCCAGAACATTTAAAACCAGACGGAGGCTGGCCGCGTAGCTGCTGGTAATTTAATATAGATAAATAATTTAATACAAATATATACAATTTACTATAAATATTTCACAAAAAAGTTAGTTCAAAAGATATGCTTTATTAAAAACAAGCCGCCCAACTGGTACAAAGGTTAGCTTCGCTGACTGAAGGGCAAGGGTTTGAATCCGAGAGAAGACATGGATGTTTGTAAATGTATATTTTAAGTTCGTAAAATAGTTACGTGCCTACATTTCATGAGGATGTGAAAATGGAGTGTGTAGAGTAAAATCTCGCTTTCCTATAGCCCATTATGTCTCAAAATGACGCGATTTCGTCAGAAAACATAAAATTAAAAAAAAAATTCGAATTCGAATTTTGAAAAAAATGACATGGAGGTGCACTGGCTCTTGTCTAGATGCACCTATGTACCAAATTTCGTAGCCGTGCATCTATTAGCTTATGCGCAGCGCGAACGAAAGACACACTCACAGACTGTTTCTTTTATTATATTGTTGCGTGCGTACGGGTTCGTTTGAATTGAATGCACAAGTCGATGAAAAATGGGCAAAATTTATTACTATCACAACAAAAATTTCCTCAGATATTCTTTCAGTATTACAATATCTCACAGTAGTTATCTTAACTACTCAAACGCTCAACAGAAGGTAATTCAAAATAGCTAAAGAAAGCTAATCCGCGAATTCGCTACAATCAACATGCAGTTTCTAAACAAACTCTTAAAACAAAAAAGCTAAAAATAACTGACTGACTGAATTGAGAGGTTTTCCTCCTTTTTATAAGATTTTTAAATCGCGCGCGAGAACTTTCTCGAAATCAAAAAAAGATATTTATTAAATGTTAAATGCACGCGCTCGTGTATTTTCAATTTTCCGGCTTGGCTTTCCTTTAATATTCATCAGGCGCTGCACTGTGCGGGAAATAAAACCATTTAATTTGCAATTCAACTAACATAAGCTATTTAAATACCAAATCCGTAACACTATGTAGAGATAATAGTTTTAACATTTTGAAGTATATATATATTCTAAAAAATTTGGTTTGCTACTCTTAATTGACTTTAATTATTCTAGTCTTTACTTGCTAATTTCTCTAAATTCTACTTATTTAAATTTCTTTTTAATTCTAGTTCACAACGTTTGGTTTTACTTTTGGTTTTGAATTTTCCTTTTACCCTTGCCTACATGGATGACGAAACACAATCTGAATAATTGAAGAGTTAGGTTTGGAGGCAACTTCTCCTTGATAAGTCTGTCTCCTGCCTGCTGAACAATTATCCACTTATGCATTTTTATAAATTTTTAGGATTAAAAAACTTGGAATTATTTATTATACATTTAATTATATATTCAGAGATTTTGATACTTGCACTTGATTTACATATCCTCTCAGAATTTAAGTGTTATTGTAGATTAGTTTGCAGTAATAATTAATCATTTATTTGTAATTCAATTTCATTTAAAATTTTATTAACTTTAAATTTGCTTTTTACAAATAGAGACTGCTTATTTAAATTTTATTTTATTTTATTATATTCTCTTGAAACTGTTATAATATATAAATATTTATAATGTTGTTACAAAAATGTCTTTGTCAAATTTTTTAATAAGTAATATTTTAAATTATTAAAACAGTTTACAATTCATTACATGATCAGGTGCAATGTATTTGAAAAGCCAGAGCCAAAAAACATACTCAGTTTTGTAAATAATCATAAAATATTTTATTACACGAAATTGCTAACCAAAAAATGTGATACAGTATTCAAAAACTGCAGAAAACTTGCATGCCAAATCGCAACGTAATCGGGCGCAATATGACTATTAGATCATTTCATCTGTCAACTGGAAATGAAGACATATTCACTGGCTGACTTTACGACTCCCAGTGATACTAGAAGACTGTATAGGTTAACTGTATAGAGAAGGAGTGATGACGGTTGATGGAGGCAGGGCAAACAAAAGTGCTCGAGGTGTGCCTGGCAGGTCCAATGTACCCGACAGGGTATTAATAGTGTGCAGAATATTTGTTGACAGCAAGAAGTAAAACTACAAAACTTGCAACTAAAATTATATAAAAGCACTAGTTACTCAGGTACTCTTGCATTATCTTCCCAACCCTCCAACAAAGTCATTAACTAATTTTTCGGCAGCTTAACATATGAAAAACAGTAGCCGTTTTAGAAAAATGGCAGTGATCTAAAAATTATATCAAACTGCATTGAATTAACAGAATTAAAAATGCAAAAAACATCCATAATGAAACAATAAAATTAAATAAAGCAAAACACTCAAATTTTCATATAACAGCAACAAACTAACAAACTTAGGTTAACTAATAAAAGGTAACAATCATCCATCTAAAACATTTAATTTTATATTTTCTTTGTTTCCTGTCTGTGTACACAGCAATATGTTTAGCATTAAAAAAATCAAAGAATTGAAGAATTCTTGGCATTCTAAAGTAGACTGTCACAACCTATCTTTACTTAAGAAATGTTAAAGAAGTGTACAAACTGACTTTGTGGAATGTGCGTACACTCTCTACTACTATTTAAAACAACATATTTCTGAAAAAATGTAACATTTTCTTAAGCAAGCTGTCTCTACAGTGGTATTACAATTCATTACAAAAGAAAAAGCTCCATACATTAATCATAACAAACAGAAACATGACTCTTCAGCTTCAAATTGTGTTATGCTCTCGTGTAATGTGAGCACAACCAATAGTGGTATGCATACCGTAAAGGCCCTTATTTTCATGGGCCGTAATTTTCACGAAAATGAATATATCGGTGATTTCGCAAGCTGAAAATTTCGCAAATTTTATTTGAACAGAACCGAAAGTTGAAAAAAAAAAGTACTTAAGTTGAGAAAGTTGAAAAATAGCAAAAGTACATCTTTTGCATAAATCATTTTAAGAAACTTCCTTTTCTCCGAAAAGTTCCCCCCTTCCCCCCCCCATTCCCGTCTAAATGGCAAGTTCAAGCGTTTGCTCAAGAATGAGTTTATTGAGTGGTATTCTAATGAGCTTCAATTTCTAGAGGAAAAAGAATTTGTGGACTTGCGAATATTACGACTAAAACCGATTCACGCTTCTTGGCTTGTGCACATATTTAACGGTATTGAAGCCAAACCTGAGATAATTTTGAATGGCTTCAAAGAAGCAGGTATAAATAGTATTCCAAGTGAATGAGCTCCCTTGTATTAATTTTATTGTTTTATATTCGAGAAATATAGTTGTATAGTATTCAAAAAATATTTATAAGAAAAAAGTTGTCAAGAAAAAGCTTGTAACTGTGCAATAAATCATTAAATTTTGGGTAAGTGAAAAATTTCTGATTTTTTATTATCATTTGAGGGGGGGGAAAAAAGTATTTCGCAAGGCTTAAATTTTCGTGATTACGATGGGCTCGTGAAAATTAAAGCCTCACAAAAATAAGGGCCTTTACAGTAAATATATTTTGTAAACTTCTATGTTGCTTATATTGGTGATATTGTGCTTTGCCTGGTGATTCTCGTCAAGGTTGGGCGAATAATGTGATGGTACTATCTGTCTACGAGAAGAAGAGCACCTGCCACAGTGTCTGGCAAATGGCGGTTGCTATAGCAACAAGTAGTATATTTCAAATAGGGACGAACCAAGGGTTGCTTTATTGTTATTTTGTTTTTGGTGACTTTGCTGAGGGGAAAAGAGTTTATTATTTGTCTTCAACACAACCCTACAGAAAATGTGTCAAGGCTCATTTTTACGGGGACAAACAGCTACTAACAAGCGAGAGCATTTCTTATGATAAGCAGACTGTACCACTGGTTATTTTGACATTTTGTTTTACCATGTCCCTGTGTATACATTTAAGTGAATAAAATTTCTTCGACTTATAGATACAAATCTGTTAACCTTGTCAAGGGTTTTTAATTTAATTAAAACTTGTCTCTGTAAGTGTAAATCATTTAAATAATTAAGAATGTTTAAAAATTATTTAAATGCTATTTAATATAAATGCTTATCTCAAACTATATCTTATCATCAAAAAAGCAATTCTTTAAAAGATTAAATTCAATAAAATTGATTTGTATGTAATTGTGAATAAATAAAAATAAATTAAAACTTGTGAATAAAAAGGTGGAAAAGATCAAACATAAAGCTTTGTTGTGCTGTCTGTGTCCAGTGCAAGATATGAAAAATATGAAATTGAAAGTGTTAGTAAAACTTTGAGCTTTTGCACATATAATGCTATTATTTTATTGGTATTAACAATTATTTTTATTGATGAATGATATTTTAGAAGTCATCTTTGTTGGCATACACTGTTTGCTAAAACATACTGCATTACATAAATTATGAATGCTTGAAATTCATATCTAGTTCTGTTTTCAATATCTGTAGTATTTCAAGGTTATCAAGTATTTTCGTAGTATTTCAAGGTTCAATCATTTTTGTTCATGAGATTAAGTCATGGTTAAATGATTTTACTTTCAGACTACAATTATTTAAAGAGACATTACCAAAATTTTAACAATAGATATATTTTGTTGCATAGATTGGCAGCCATCAAAATCCTGGTGCTCTACCTGCAGTTTACAATATATGTCATGAAAAGCCTGTTGAAAGTGCTAATATTAATTATTTTGTTGTTTCTGCTGATCAAAATGGTGAAATTAATGATCTGTTGTCTCCTAGTAAATGGACGAGAAAGTAAGTTTTTTTCCTCCGCCTTCCCTAAATCTTAGCATTATTTAAAAATTGTAATTTTTAAAACTGAAATAGTAAATTTTAGTTAATATCTATACTTCAGTAGCTTTGATCATTAGAATAATTAGATACTAATTCTTATTATTTTATGCTGAGATTCCTATGAAACATTTTCTTGATACATCGCAGACAGACTTACCTGGAAGATGTGCCTTAAACTAAGATTCGATTCCAGATGAAGAATTGTATTCATTTGTATTGTAGATGTATTTTGCTTTTGAAACCATAACTTGAAATAAAAGATGTTACTTATTCATTAGCTGTAATTGATGTAGAAGCTGCTAATCCTTTGCAAGCATGCACATAACAGCTCTTGAATTTTAACTAGCAAATGTTATCATTTCGATATGTATTCTTTTCGTTGTATTCTAAACTCCAGCTTTTTTTATGTAGATAAACTGTGATATCTTTTGCCTTAAACTCAGTTTTAAAGTATGTGCTTCTAGAATTTGCCTTCCATGGAAGAAACTGAGGCAAAATTTCTGCAAAAATATAATATTTTGGAGCAGAATTGCTAATTAATACCTTGAATCTGATCTTAAAGTGATGCTCAAATTTCCACCAAAATAAAGGAAGGAAAGCTGCATGAGAGTAGGTTGATTTTCTTCATAAATACATAATCCAAGCATAAAATGTGTATATAAATAAATAAGTTTTCACAATTATAATTCATCATCCTTTTCCTTCTATAAAGAACTGCAATTTGTGCCAAGGTGGTTGCATTAATGTGCAAATTTGTAAAACAATCCATTTCATAGCTCATAAACATCGATTATAACTTGCAACATTTTCAACAAAATTTCATCATCTTATTTTAATTACACCTTATCAAAGGATCAAAATATAAATCTCTTGCAATTGAATGTTTCCTGTGTAGGTATTGAAGATTAAGACTTCTCAATTTATGACAAATTTTAGTTTTCAGGCATAAATGAAAAGGGGCTTATATGTGATTAAAGTGGTGTGGAATTGTTGGTCTTGCTAGCAAGCTGGATTCACATCTTGTCTTGAATGTTCATAATCATGTGCTCTTTGAGCACTGTCTTTCATGATCCTTCCGAAGATGAGTCCATCCTGTAGCAATTATAGGATCATATATGTTAAGTATCAAGAACTCCCTAAAATCAGTGTAAATGAATTTCATGATTTACATGAAGTATATTTATAGCAGTGCCCAAATACTGTATTTACTTACAGATTTTTCTCCTTCTTTTTATGAATTTTACAAAAAATTGAGGGGAAAATTACGTGACTACCGGTAGCTATCACAATACCATTTCTTTAAAAGAAATGTACATTCTAATAAGAATACATAGTAATATTAGCATTATAGTATGTAATAAGATATCTTCTAATCTAGCTCACTCTTTTTTTTTGTTTGCTGCTCTGCAAACCTCAAACTGTTTAGAGCTGCCTTAACTGATGTTTGCTACTGCTTGCAAGTCAGCATTCCCTTCAGCACCATTAAGTCTTGTTTTGCCACAAGCAACATCCCTCAGAATCCATCATCTATGAGAATTAGATATCCCTCTTTCATTTTGAAGCTTTTTATTATTATTATTACTTCATCAATCAGAACTCATGCACCCATAATCTACGAGCAAGTATTTAGTAGAATGACCATTATGTGGACAAACCCATTTTAAGATTTAGAGGAACTTGCTTTATGAAGTTTGCTTAATTAACTTGCTTATTCGCATAAATTTTTCTTTGAAGAAGGGAAAATTTGAAAAATTTATGCGAATAGTTAAAATAACAATAATAATAATAATTAAAAAAAAGATTAGAATCTTGTGGCATGGGGGGGGGAATATGCAAGTAAATACTAATTAACTTCTTTCCATTGAAGTGTGGGATATTTTTATTGTTATTTTTTCATTATACATCAGGATATTATTCAGGCATCTTGTAATATTGTTGGTCTTATGTTGAAATATTCCTGAAAGATACCTTTGACTGTTATCTGTAAAATACCTTTTACAATAAAAGTCTTATAATCTTGCACCCTATTCATCAATAATTCTGCAGTGCGATAGCACTACTAGCATTTCATCTGACACTATTCAGATGGGCCCAGCAGTTGATTTATATCTCTTTTAGTCATTTTCAGTTAATCCTTTGACCTTTTACAAAAATTAAATTATTGAATGGATTAAAAATGTGGTAAAAATTTAACTAGTTGTGGAAACGTTGTATACAAATGCCAAGTTTATAACTATTATTACATTAACCTCTTCATCGTCCATTACGTATCTAGCACGTTCAACTGAAACTTCTGCAGAGCAGCCATAACCTCCTAGAGGGCAGCACTAATCAGGCATTCTATTTCTAATTGAATTTCCACCGGGTTTTATGAATATTCGCACCATTTTACATAAGATACAAGAGAGTGAGAGATGGCTTCAACGTCTACTCAGCAGATAAAAAGAAAAAATGAGGTTGTGAATTGGAAAGACGAGAAAGATTTGAGTACAGTCCATAATAACTCAATGATTGTTGTTGAAACATGGAAAAGAACTGTAAAAAAACCAATAATTGTAAAAGATTACAACAAAATGGGAGGAGTGGACCGCTTGGATCAGATGTTATCAAATTAATATAAAATAAGCAGAGATATTATTACTTTTCCATTATGCTTTATTTCCTTATAATTTTACTTAATATTCATTTACATTCATCCACTATGAAAGTTATGTATGTACAGAGAAAACAACATTAACGCTGCAAAAAACAGAGGGCCGCTGAGGAGAAATGTTTGCAGACAGGCGAGGACGGCAAAATGGTTAACCATGCCATGAAAGAGTTAATTGAAGCTGTCATAATTCAGAGTGTGTTGAATCCTTTGGTACCTATCCCCACTATGGATTTGAACCCTGGTAAAGAGGCCAGTTTTTCATTTACCATAATCAATATTGTTTTTGTGGATGCTTATAACATTAAAAAACAATGTTATCTTGAGCTTGAATTGTGCCGATGCCATTTCGTCTCACCGAATCCGCTACAGAACATGAGTACCACATACTGTTTGCACAAGAAAACAGGGTACAGGGTACTGTTTAAAAATACCATATTAAGCAGTATAAAACATAATACAATAAATAAAAAGTTAAATATGAACTTCAGTTTGTTAAAATAAATATGTTCAAATAACACTTGTAGAATTTGCAGGCAATATTTGCTTGACCAGACATCATCCTGTGAGAAACAGAAAATAATTCTAGTCAGCAGTTTACATATGCCTCTAACCTGATTGATGAGGAAAGGTTATATAATTGCAGTCAAACTCCTCTTTCATTCTGGTATTTAGCTTCTCATTATTTGATGAGAGACACAATTTTTCATAGCATCTGTTTTTATTAGAATCTCTTAACTGGATGAATAAGTGTTGGAAGATACAGTGCAAACACAAGTCAAGAAATAGTCAGCTTATTAAAGTGTCGACCACTTTTTATTTTGTGAGTGGAAAATAAGTTATTTCATGTAATACACAACAAGCTGTTAAGGCTATTATGGATTATACTGTGCACTCGTTTAATGAAATATTTTAACTTTCCTGTAACTGGTGATTGCATAAATACATTTAAGTCTTTCAAATGCACAGATGGTCTAGTGGTTGGGGAAGCCTGCTACCGAAGGGCTTGGGTTCGAATCCCGGAGAAAACATGGATGTCTGTAAGTGTATAGTGTCGGTGCGCATGGCGGCACTCTAAATATGTAGTGAGCCGAAAGTTCTCTCATGTGGGTTGCTGGAAGGGGAGAGGGGTGGGTGCTCTGCCTCAAAACTGGGGGTGGAAAATAAAAGTCCAACTTTTCTTCGGAGTAGGCTCTGGCAATCATTGTTCCATGTAATATGGACAAGACAACAACAACAAATTCACTGTGATAAGGGCGCATAGAGGATATTTGTCTAGGATGAATGATTTCAGATTGCAAAATTGAGATCAGGGGTGAAATCCTGTGTAATAGGATGCCTTTGTTAATGATTGCAGTTATAGCCTTGAAGGTACCTCCAATGGCCAAAGAGAGAAGGTACCTCTTATGGACAAAGAGATAATGGACAAAATCTTTTCATCAGGGTCAGGAGATGGACACCTTTGTTGTACGAGTGAATGTATTTTCGCCCTTCGGGAGTTCAGTGCAAGTAATGACACCGTGAGATATAAAAGGTGGTTTCCTGAGAAGAGATGGGACTTCTTTCCTGCTAGAGCTATGGACATGTTGGCCCGGTAGAAATATTTCTCCTCACGTTTTAATGTGATAGAGCATTTTCCCTGTTAACAAAATTCTGAAATTACAGGACTAAATATATCCAAGTCCTATACTGTCAAGATATGCAACTCTTAATGTTTTTATCTTATTAAAATTCATGTTAGTGCTAGAACTTGAGTTTGAGGTTCATTTCAATCCTGTATCACAACCATTGGTTTCGGCTACTACACCTCAGCAAAAATAATAATGTTAAATAAAAATAATGTTAAAAGAATTAATTTAGTATTGCAAATGCACAAACAATGTTAAAAGCAAACATTGTTTCAAATGCACAAACAATGTTGAAAGAATTAATTTTAATTTAGTATTGCATTTTTATTTTTAGCCATGACAGAAAAATTAAGCATATATGTTTTAAGCCTCAGTGTCAAATATTGGTTATTGTGATGTTTGGCTGTCTAACACTGAGCTGCTTTTTTAACATAACTGATTCAAAATAACTGTTGATAGATTTTTAAAGCATGCAAAATGTTTTTTAAAATTTGTGTCAATCTAGATAGTGAAAAGGCTTTACTATTTCTCAGTAGGGATCGTAACTACACTTTTGAACAATCTTTGAGATTGTGCTTGTGCTAGATATCGCAGTTTTTATATGTATTTTTTTAAAAACTTTATTCTATATTTATATCTTTTATAAAACTTGTATATATGTGTAAGATAAAAAAATGCAAATCAAAATTATAATTTAAAATGCCTCTTAATTTCTCATTTTTAATTTGGGTACTGTATCTCTAGTAATAACTTTCTCTAAACTGTCATATCTGAAAACGTATTCCACATTAAGTCATCTTGAAACTTCTGCATTCCTATAAGTTTTAGCCAATCAGATTAAGAAAATTTTTACTATAAATATCATTGCAATCCTACAACCCTCTCTCTCTTTCCCTGCCTATGCGTGCTGGCTGAAGGACTTCTCTTGCTTGGCTGCTTTTGTTAAAAATGTAATGCGCCATCATCAAAATTGTGGGGTGCAGTTTAGCCCCCACTGTGAAGTGCAACAAGTAATAAAAATATATCTGGAATATCAAGTGATTTTGTGATTCTTCAAAAGTTCCCAGCATCTTCTGCTACATAATTGATATTTTCAGTGATCCTCTAATCGTCATTCCACTCAAGACTGCAAAATAATTCCCTACTCAAGCATTCATCTCTCGTCAATTTACTACATTTTACATACTAAATGTTATCATCACATATATATATACTTATTCTATGTATTACTAAACTTGTATATGAAAGTATTAAGGAAAAAATATCATCCTGAATGCATCATTTGGCATCTTTTCAAATTCCAAGCTGCAGGCACCTATATAAAATCTTTATTAGCCAAACTGTGTGATGCTTCTATGCATCTGTACTTAAATAACTTGGTCAGTTTCATAGATAAAGAGATATGTATGAGTGTGTTCGTTGGTTTTAATCATGAAAATGGCTCTAGTGTAGAATTGGGTGCCCCTTCAATCAGCGACAAATTTTGTTCCGTTTTGGTGATGAAACCCCATTTCTGGTTACCATGATAGTTTTAACTTTGTTTTAGCTTCCCCTCTCCCCCCCCTTTTTTTAGTGAATATAGATCGATGTGTACGTAGACAAAGTTAAGGCAGTGCGCAATGCCTAGTTTGTGCAATTCTCTGATGTTTTTTAAAGTTAAAATAGGTCAATGTGTACATGGACATCAAGTTTGTGAAGTTCTTTGACTTTTTATTTTGTTTTTGTGTAGTGACCATTTTGAAATTGTGCCTTCCTGGCGCCGATCTTGGCATCAAAAAAGAATTGCCAGAAAAACAAGGGACACCCAGTTGTAAACTTTTGCCATGAGAATGATAAACTATGAAATTGCTGAAGCCAGATTTATAACTAGACATGGAATAAGCAATTTAAAAAGTATTGATTAGCTAATACTTTGTAATGCATTCAGTTCTTTTTCCATGCAATGGGTATGTTCCATGTGCAAAGATACTTGCATGTCTCAAAAAATCACATAAAATGTAAAATGTAAGTTGATATTTATGTTTCAAAAACTTAATTTGGGCACTTGTTTTATTATTTGAAAAAGCTGGTAGCTTTAAGCTTTTAGGTATTCTTTTATGTGTTGTCATAGATATTAGTATTTGTTGTTTATTATATCACCGTTTTTAATGCAGTTGCTAAGTACCACACGTGCATAGGGTTAATGTTACTTTTATTAGTTATGGTAATTTTGAAAATTTTCACAGAAATTATGAGCAGAATGTGTTATAAATTATACAGATGTACAAATTATTAAGGTGTATTTTATTGCTTTTTAAATTGGTATTTTTTAAGTAACTATACTTACAATTTAAAAAATATTATTCAAATTGATTGGTAACATTATTAGAAGTAGATATTTGATATGCCATTTGTAGTTAAAGATCTTATAAGCATCAGAATGGCAGAACTTGATATGATGTAATTATATTATTATGGATTTTTATAAATATTTCCAACATAGGAAAGAAACCAGAAGTATTTTCAGCATAGAAAAGATATTTATAAAATTTCTGTTTCTCTCTGTGCCACCCCCTCCCCCCCCCTTTTTTCTTTTGTGTATACATGCTTGGGTTTTGACAAAGGAAATGTTATAATGTACATTGATAAAATTGATCGACATTTAACTGATATGGATTGTGCTGAAAATATATAAAATAAAAAGATACAAATATTCAACTAACCAAGCACTCAGCAACTCTGCGTGTTTTATTATCGTTATATGACTTGTGCACTGTCATTTGAATTTGTTTTGCACTCAGTGTGTTAAGCTAATAGTTTCATCATTTAAAGTGTTTATATATTATTTCATTGATGTTTTTGTTATGCATTTTCAGGCAGTTTTTGCATAATTTCTTGTAACTAACTATAATATTGAAAATCGTTCCTAAATGATAGAGTTTGTTAAAACCGAAAAAGAGTTGAAAAATTTTGAACTGAAATGAAATTTCTGAAAAAGAATGAAAATGTGTTGAAGAGGGAATTTGAAAAGAAATGAATATGTATAGATAGACATTATAATTTTAATACATGGTAAATGTTTATTACTCTTTTCTCTTAAAATATTTTATTTCTGTTTATGTGGTATGATTCAACAAAGGAATATGTTGTTTATTGATAGCATTTTAAATTGCTTTTATTATTATTTAGGTCAAAATTCCGTTTTGCTGTCAAAAGTGTCCAGCACCATAAAAGAAATTCAAGAACAAGTGAATGCCACAGTTCCACTGGAAAATGTCCTACAGTCACTTATAATAACAACATTTCTAATGATGACTAGGATTGATTTTTTTTTTTTTTTTTTTTTTAAGTTTATCATCAAATAAGTCATGATCTATATCAGGTATATGATAAAAGTAATTTTATTTAAAATATTTTTTTAAGTGTTTTAAAAGAAGTCTTTTCTATATTTAAATATGCAGCAACAAGCTGTTAATGAGTGAAGTGTTGCTGTTGATGGGGCCAACTATGAATATGGAAACAGTCGAGTCGTGTAAAACCCTGACTCCATCATCTAGGACCTAGTTAGTTGAGTTTTATTCTGAAATAGGTTGGGACTCTTATTTCCTGCATTTGGCATGCTACTGCTGTATTATTCTTCCTCTAGTATAGCGATCACAAAATCAAAATGAATGCATGGCAAATGCATGATCTGAAAACTGTTGATGCTGTAGAGACATTGGGTTATTCTGAAGCAGGAGACATGAAAAATCAGCAATGCCCTCGCCGGGACTCGAACTACATACCTCTCGAATATGCGGCAAGTGTGCTGGCCATTACACCACAAAGGTAGGAGAAATACCTTATATACTTCCTCTTTTAAAGGGCGACTGGAAATTAGGAGACCCAGTTGCCAAATCCTGGTAGTGGAGAATCAGCATCCACCACCTTTTTTTAGTTTGGGCGCCATAGTAAAGACATTAGGACATTCTGAAGCATTTGAAAATGAGCTATGTCCTCACTGGGGCTCGAACCACGATCTTCTCGAATATGCGCCGAGTGTGCTGGCCATTACACCATGAAGGCGGGAGAAATACCTTATAATACACCAGAATTTTTTACCAAACTGAAAATTAAATAAATTTTAGATTTTTCTTACTACATATTTATCAATACACACATAAACAACAATAGTAATATCGCAAAAGAAAAAATTCAGATTTATATTTATTTTCTATCCAAAATCTGAAGTTTGGTACCTGTAAGACATTTTTGTTGTTAACATTTCATAATTCATATGTAGTGACAGCTAAGTTTTTAGCAAACATTTCTTTCAAACAATTGTGTATTTAATTAATCATTAAACAGTTTATTGTAATTTACGGCCAAAAATGTATGAAAATTTTCTAACCAAGTTTAGCTAAGTGGGACAAAACTTGAGAATAAATAGTAACAAGGTATTCTCTCTTATTTATTAAATTTTTCTTTGATGCGTAAATAAAAGTACCTATATCTGTATATAAATAATTATAAACTTCTATATTTCTACTATAGTTTGAAACTTGATGTTATTTGGGTTCTGGTAAAGTTTGTAGTCTTCAAGAGAAATTACTAGAAACTATCTTCATTACAGATTGTAAATGCTTATCAGTCAATTGGGTTCTATTCTTATTAATTTTCACCTTTGAAAAAAAAACTGTGTATTTCCAAACAAAATGATTATTGGTGCAAAAATTACGAACTGAGCTTACTTATTTTTGGGCAAGTATGATTAAAATTTAGTCAAATATGTATCTTCAAATCTTTGAATAAGATTTATATCACACTGTAAATAAATTAACTCTTTTTATGTAAATTTACTGGCATGTTATACATGCTCGTTTTTAACGGAAGTGAAAATAATATAAACTCAAATTTTAAATAACTAAAATCTTGAAATCTTTGCTACATAATCTTCAAATGTTTGCTCCAACATCTTGAAATATTTGCATCAAATACATTATTCAGATGTCTTTAGGGGCTGCGTAAAATTGCTTCAATGGCTGCAAATTGAGACCACTGCTCTAGTATGCTAGCACAATATATAAGCCATGGCACATACGAGCTCCATTACTTTGAAAGCAAACCGAGGCCTGTCACTTTTAAGAGCATTAACATGCGAGCCAGATAAATTCAGAATGGCATGTGAAGGGACTAATATATATGCCCTCCTTTGGAAAAATGTTTTCCAAATTTCTGTTAATAAAAAAGGCTAATGGAAGAATAATAATCCTTTAATAAAAAAAGGCTTCTTTAGAATCCTTTTGAATTGTGGCCCAGTTTCATATAAACTAAGTCAAAGATCTTGTACAGAATTCTATAAAATTTCAAATGCAGGTTCTGTAGAGTTATAATTTAACTCTATAGAGACACTAATAATTATATACAAAGACATTTTACAGACATGTAGAGACATTTTACAGAGATTATGTACATTTATTTATGTAGAGATGGCTATAAAAATTCTTGCAATTTCTTAGTCCCATGTATAGAATCTTGTAAAATGTGTATGTGATCAACTAATAGAATTCTACTGAAAATATCAGATCCAGTGTACAGAAAGTCAGGCCATAATTCTAAAGAACTCTAAGCAAGTTTCCTTGTGGCATTATGCTTGTGTTTTTCTAACAAAGCTTTATTTAATTTACAGCTTTCCTTTTGCCTCATTTCACCACAAGGCTTGCTCATTCTAGAGTTTATATAGATTTCAGTAGTAAGCGGTGCTACCATACAGTGAGAGGAACAGCACACTGCCAATGTATATAAGAGGTTTCTTAGTGAGTAACCACTTTCTCGCATCAACACAAAATAAACTTTATTTGGTAAGTTTAAGTGTTTGAGACATTGTTAGCAGGCATTGGTGAATCTTGTAGTCTGTAAAAAACCAGCTGTTGTAATTAGAAGCAATTTAAAGAAATAAGTTAAAGGACTCGTACTTTTATGCTGTATTATTTTTAGTTTAGCCCTTATACGTAGTGAGGAGAATAAATTTAAAGTATAGTTTGTGTGTCTGTTTGAAAAAGTTCAAGTATTCTAGCAGTAAAAACTCACCCAAGGAAAACATGTAACACCTGATTAGATTTGCAAATGCTATAAAAGATCCTGTAGAAGCTTTTGTATGTTGTATGTTTGTAAAAGTATTATAAATTCAACAAAATCTTTTAAAAGGAATCAAAAGATAGATGTGAATTAACAGAAATAAATACATTTTAAATGATATTTAATTAACTTTAAGACACTGTTTCTCTTATCAGGGGTACATACACAATAATTTCAGGAATTAAAATTTTAAAAATAACAGCACAAATTTAATCTTTTTATAAACTTTATGATGTAAATTGATTGTACACTTTTGCAAGATTTAATTTTTTTCTCTCAAAATGCTAAAAACATTGAACTTAAGGAAAAGGGAATAATTAATGTTTAAAAATAATTCAACACTTACAAATAAGAAATGTTTATTTTTGCTCTACTATATACCACGTGGTACAACCAAAGCTGAAAAGCTGAATACAGTCAAAAGTCGTTAATCCGGACTCGTCGGGACTTCGGCGATTCCGGATTATCGATGTTTCCGGATTATAGATCATCAGTTTAAATCTCGTTAGATGGCAGCAGAAATTCGAAAATTAAAATATGAAACGTAAATTTATGAAATAAAGAACAATTATGATCTAAAAGGGTATCAAAATGTGCAAAAAAAAAAAGCTTAATATTTATTTGTTTACTTTAAACATTTCTTTCAATGTAAGTTGTTTAAGTTTGCTTCGTTTCATGTGATATACTTTCTCTTTAATTCTATTAAACAGACATAATTTCTTGTTCAGTTACAAAGTTCCGCTGTTTTCAAAGTCCTATAATTGCCGTGTCAGACACCGACTAATTTTGTCAACGAAATTTTTTCGTTTTCAATAACCTCTGTCACTTTTCTTCGCTATCGGAAGCGAATTATAATGACAGGACTGTTTTAAATCATATTAAAGACGGAGCATATCGAGATGAAATACTACATTTGGTAAGGATTTAAAGCCAAATAAAATAAAAACTCTGCTCTGAAGATAAGGATAGTGCTGACAGATCAACTTCCAATTCATTATGGCGCTCGCCGCGGCTTTCCCCCCGGCGAGCAGCGTGAAATTGATAAACAGATTTCGGATTTCAAAACATACTTTCGCTGTAGATCCTTTACATATTAACAAATATATATCGGAAATTCTATTTGATATAATCGAAAGTTTAAGCTTACTTTTATAAGATTGCTCTTACCGTCTGCAAAAATAATAAGCCGGATCCAATTCGAAAATTAAGGAACATCGCATCATTAACATTAACTGAAATAGATAATTAGATAATTTTAGCTGATCGTCCATTTACCTAAAAACGCACGCGAAAACGTATTCTGCACTTGCGCGCACTCAATCGCAGTGTCGTAAAAGGTCTTACGCGTACGCGTAAACGCCTATGTGCATGTGTCAACGCGGCTCATGTGCAGAAAGTTTTTAGTTTTGAGGTCCGGATTATAGATCATTCCGAATTATGGGTGTCCGAATTAACGACTTTTGACTGTATTTGGTTTGATTACAGTTTTAAAACTTTGCAGGTACCATTCTATAAAGGTTTTATAAAATTTCTATATATTTTGCAAAGCAGCATTTCTGCAGAATTCTGTTGAGTGAAAGCTTTATAAAATTTCTGCAGAATTTTTTAAGAACTTTTTCTATGGAGTGGCGATGCTCTATTTTTTCTCTCTTGCTTACCCCTTGAGTATTCAATATAAGAATATGAGGGCAATCCCAAAAAAAAAGGTCTCCTATATTTTTAGATATACAAAGAACCGTTTATTTTCTATAATTGCTACATCACTTTAAAAATTGAAGAATGCTTTATTTTTCAACATAATCGCCATTTCGGTCGATGCATTTTTGTAGACGCTGTGGCAGTTTTACAATGCCCATGTCATACCAGCTTGCCGCCATGCCCTTCAGGAAGTGTTGAGGAGCTTCAGGAGCATCCAGATGATCCTCCAATCTTTACACATTTTACGAACTCAACAATCGCGAAAGTTGAGGATTCCTCAACTTTTGCGATTGTCTCGTCGGCAATTGATGGCCTCCCGCTCCTTTCTTCGTCATGAATTTCAGTACAACCGGCTGTAAACTCTCTACACCACTTGCGAACGCTTTTGACATCCATGCACGACTGTCCATACACTTCCGTCAATAGGCGGTGATTTCAACCGGTTTAACGCCTTTTGCGTTCAAAATCGAATAACTGCGCGCACTTCGCACTTGGCGGTAACGTTTATCGGGAGCTCCATTTCGAATGGCTGCCAAGCCAAGACTGAGCATCCGAGCGAAGTGCCTGCGTGCTTATGTGGTAGCGGAGAAGGCTCCACTCACAACAGTGTTGCCAACAACCGTATTAAAACTTTCTCTACGTCCCCAAAAAATAGGAGACCTTCTTTTTGGGATTGCCCTCGTATATATTGTTGCATGCGTATGGGTTCATAATGGATTGAATGCACATGTCTGATTAAAAGTTAATAAAATTTATTCTAATCACAAGAAACATTAAAAAAAAGCTGGAATATTCCTCAAAGATATTCGTACAATATCATGCAATATAAACAGTAGTTATAATTTAAACAACATTAAACAGAACGCAATCCAAAGCACAGAGAAAGTTAATCTGATTTCACTGCGAATTCACTCAATCAACAAACAACAGTTATCTAAACAATAACTTAGTAAACAACTGAGCTGAGATGTTCTCTCTCTGGATTTTACAGATTTTTAAATCGGCTGCATGAGAGAGTTCTAGCAATTTCTGGAAAGCAAAAAGCACAGAATTACAGCTGCAGTTGTCAATTACATTTATTCAATTAAATATCAGTTACGAAGATAAACTTTTATTAAATGTTAAATGCACGTGCTCTTGTGTTTCTACTTTTCCGGCATAGCTTTCTCTTACAATTCGTCTCGCGCTGCATTACATGGGGAAATAAAACAATTTTAATTACAATTCTACTAAAAATAGCCAACTAAATACAAAATCAATAACAATGTGAATGTATATATGAATTAGTATATGAATACAGAGTACTCCTAATTTTCCCTTTCAGAACCATAGCTTCCTTACAGTATATTTTACTACTGTATTATTTTAATGCCATATAATTAGTAGACTTCAATGTACAAGGACAGAAAAAGGTGTACTAAAACAAAGACTGATTATTACTTTATTTATTTTAAATAAATACACTGATAGCACATATTTTAAGCCAAAACATAATGTCATAAATGCACCATAATTATTTCAAATATGGATTTCTCTAAAACAGAAATGATGGAAATGAAAAATTTGACTCTTGATATGATCTAGGCCTATACTAAAACCCTGAGCATTCTTGAAATAGTGTTGTAAAACAGTTAAATCATAAACCTGTTATTATTTTAAAATGAATTAACTTATAAATATAACTGAATATGACTTTGTACAATACTAAATTGAAAACAAAAATTAAAACTCTGTCTCGAAAGGTTCGATGCGTAGAGCTCTGATTAACAATGTACAGTAAATAATAGTCTAATTCAGAAGTCAAACAACAAAAATCAGCGTTATATTTTCAAATTTTCACAGGACTAGTTTCGATGGTGGTTCGGTAAAAACCATTGAAACTAGTCCTGTGAAAAATTGAAAATATAACGCTGATTTTTGTTGTTTGACTTCTGAATTAGTATTTGTTCGGCATGTTATTGTGTTTTAAATAATATTTATATACTATTTTTTATTCTTATTTAGTTTTCAAAAATCATAACACACGTCCTTTATTCTCCAAGAAAGTTTATTGTTCCAGACAAGATTGCTGTTATTTTTTTTAATGTCTTCTTGAAACATGTACTGAACAGGATAAAATTCTCAGCCACTTTTAATCGTAGGATAACTTATTCTGATGAACACTTCAGTCACACCTTCATCATCTATGGTAGCTGATGATAGATATGATTTTACTTTATGCAGATGTTGAAAAAGGTTCATTAGTGTCTGTTTGTAATTTTACTGTTTGGTTTCTAAATGATGCTGCAGTAACGAAGATTTTTTACTTCCATTTGATAAAATTAACCAACATATTGAAAACGCATACTAAACAGTCATTAGATACTTTCTCTTCTTTTAAAAACTGCTCTTCAGAATTTTCATACTACTAATTGTGTTGTTGTTGCTTATGCTCACTTGTCTGATGTAGTCAGCCCAAGCCCACAAAATTCCTAATGACGAGAAGTGCAAGATTACGCCTGTCATTGGGAACAGCCTCCATCACTTACCAGGTGACACTTTGATTTGGCTCAGTTATGCCTCCAATTTCAATGGAGAGCACCCCAGGCAGGGACGGGTCCAAGGGTCTCCCACTTCTCTCCTCTTCCACCAAACCACAAGAGAGAACTTTCGGCTCACTGCATATTTAAAGCGCCGCCATACATTTACAAACATCCATGCCTTCTCCTGCCTTCGAACCCGTGCCCTTCGGCACAGCAGTCAGTAATACTAACCATTATACCAGTTGGGCGGAGTAGTACTTTTCTTTTCACCATCGAGGGAACAGCTGGCCCACTGGATTAGGTGCTTTTTAGCCTGTTGGATCGCGTCAATAAACAGACAGAGTAGTACTATTCCTTACCAAAATACTAACTTCATTCTGTTCCTGAGAATCCTGTTCTTTGTAATTGCTTGGCACAGACAAATCAAAGCTATTATTCTTGGTAGTTTTAGTTCTTTGCAAAAATATACTGTTTAACTAAGTATTCATTTTTATTTAAACAAACCTTATAATTAATAACTCTGAAAAACATGAACTGGTAAAACAAAACTCTGCGCTGAAACAAATTTGAATTTTACATAATTGTCAAGAAACAGCTGCATAACTAATTTGATGATTCTCTGAATGTTAAAGATATTATTATTGTATGCTTTTTACATGATGTGCCACCATAAAGGAGGAAAAAGGATGGCTACATATTATGAGTAAAAGAAATGAGTGATGTAAAAGGTGTGGGCAGGGCTAGTTATCATTTTTAGCCAGTGATGATCATCACATTGAAATTCTTTGCGATTTTTTCCCTTTTATTCATTAACAAATTTTAACTTTCTGAGCATTTTTTATCAGTATTTTATTTTGTTGTTTTTGCCATTACTGTTAATTTTTTCACATATTCCCAACTAACCCACCTTATACCATAACTTGGTTTCCACCAAGTTGCTACTGTAGAAGATTATCTATAAAGTTCTATTGGAATTTCTACATAGCTCTTTCACCGTTTATAAAAAAGTTCTTTTAGACGACAGCTCAAACAGATTCATATCATATGTTATCACAATCTACAGCAGCAGGCAAGGAATGGAGACATTAGTTTAGCTGTTGCCTGTGGTACACTGCTCCCTCCCTCCTCCAAAAAAAAGGGGACAGGTATATGCCTCCCATTCTACTGAGCCGATTGACGAAATTCAATTTGTGTTTTTCATGTCTCGAAAGTGTGACTTAGGATATTTATTAGATTTAATTGTTCTAATGTACGTATTTTGACACAAAATCCCACTTTTTCTGAAATGACATGCTAATTTTTTCCATATTTCGATTCTACGACTCAAATTATTCCTAAATACTAAATTTTGTAAAATTTAGTGCAAAATTTATGGAGAAATTCAAAAATTTAACTTGGCACGTTTTTCTTACTTTGCATCAAGAATAATTCACTCGGCAAACTTCTTAATTTATAGCAACCTATTTTGCTTTCTTTTTTTTTTTTTTTTTCCTTTTCTTTCCCCCCCCCCCCCATTACAGACGAGCGAAAAAAAGTCATCGTTCATACTTCCAAATGATTTTAACAAAATGTGTGCACCACATATGGCATTATTGCTTATAATAAATATGCGAAATTTCAAAATGCGCCAGTATGTAAATTCATGTATATCTAAAATTTTGAATAAAAACTGTAATTTTTTGCAGGTGTGCCTAGAAATACATGTACTTTAAAAAGATGGCAAAAATTTTATAAGTTATATTTTAAAATCTTTTTCGAAAAATTTATAAAAATTATTTTAAAATACAAATTTAAAAAATAAATCGCAAAAAAATGGGCAGATTTTATTTGGAATTAACCAAATTTCGAAATGTGAAAGGAAGAATCAAATAAGTTTAATTAAAAAAAGAGATATTAACAAATACATATATAATTTAATTAACACTAAGGAGCTAAAATTTTGAAAGCTAATTTTTTAAAAACTACTCGTGCGATTTTTACAAAACTTTTCAGTTTGGCATAATTTGAGTCATAGAATCGAAATATGGAAAAAAGTTGGCATGTCATTTTAGAAAAAGTCCGATTTTGTGTCAAAATACCTATACAGTCAAAAGTCGTTAATCCGTACTCGTCGGGACTTCGGCGATTCCGGGTTATCGATTTTTCCGAATTATAGATCATCATTTTAAATCTCATAAGATGGCATGCAAAAATTCTAAAATTAAAAATATGAAACCGTAATTTATGAAATAAAGAACAATTATGATCTAAAGGGTATCAAAAATTTACAAAAAAAAAAGCTTAATATTTATTTGTTTACTTTATTAAACATTTCTTTCAATGTAAGTTGTTTAAGTTGCTTCGTTTTATGTGTTAATACTTTCTCTTTAATTCTATAAACAGACATAATTTCTTGTTCAGTTACAAAGTTCCGCTGTTCAAGTTCCGTAATTGCTGTGCCGAGAATACCGACTAACTTGTCAATCGAAAATTTTTCGTTTTCACTAACCTCTCTGTCACCTTCTTCATGTCTTTATCCATTTTTTGCAGCAATTCCACTTTTTGTTTGATGGACATCGAAACATACTTTCGTTTTGTAGATCCTTTGGGAGCTCCAGCATCAGAAATTCTATTTGACATTATCGAAAGTTCAAGTTTACTTTTATAAAATCGCTCTTACAGTCTGCAAAAAATAATAAGCCGGATCCAATTCGAAGATTAAGAACAACGCAATCATCAACATTAACTGAAATAGATAATTAGATAATTTTAGCTTATACCGTCCGTTATACATAAAACGCGCACGCGAAAACGTATGAGCTTGCGCACACGCTTAAGCGCAGTCGTAAAGGTCTTACGCGCACGCATAAACGCCTATGCGCATGTGTCAACGCGGCGCATGCGCAGAACGTTTTTAGCTTTGAGTTCCGGATTATGGGTGTCCGAATTAACGACTTTTGACTGTATTAGAACAGTGCTGTATATAAATCTAATACATACCTAAGTCGCACTTTCGAGACATGAAAACGCAATTTGAATTCATCAATTCTCTCTCTATCAAAGTCAGTGGAACTTTGGCTTAAATACTACTCCTACTCGTTTGCATTAAACTCGATTCTAAAATAACATTCTGGTAGGAAATTGTAAGTTGAAATTAGGATGGATAGGAAAGGATCTTTCAATAACAGAAAAAGCTAAAAGTATCATATTTGTCTGTGAAAGAAAATTTTTGAGAAGTATTTTTAGTGGCGTAAAATGTAACAATATCTGGAGAACAACTAACTCTGAACTCTATAAATCTTTTAAAGAACTAGATATAGTAAAATATATAAAGATTCAGAGAATTAAATGGGCAGAACACCTGTGCAGAATGGATGAAAATCGTGTAACTCTTCTCGCCCAGACCATTCGGCACACGAAAAAAAGGGAGACCTAAACTTAGGTGGCTCGACTGTTTGGAAATAGACTAAGAATTTTAAAAATAACCAATTGTGTGTCCATGGCCAAGGATAGAAGAGCTTGGAATTCGATTCTGAGAAAAGAAAGGACCCATCCTGAGCTGTCTTTCGGCACCCGAAAAAAAAGGAGATCTAAACTTGGGTGGCTCAACTGTTTGGAAACAGACTTAAGAATTTTAAAAATAACCAATTGTGTGTCCATGACCAAGGATAGAAGAACTTGGAATTCGATTTTGAGAAAAGAAAGGACCCATCCTGAGCTGTCTTTCGACACCCGAAAAAGAGGGAGACCTAAACTTGGGTGGCTCGACTGTTTGGAAACAGATTTAAGAGTTTTAAAAATAACCAATTGTGTGTCCATGACCAAGGATAGAAGAGCTTGGAATTCGATTCTGAAAAAGGAAAGGGTTCATCCTGAGCTATCTGGCCATTGAAGAAGAAAAAAAGGATCTTTAACTTAACTGTTAAAAACAAAGAATAAACCTGAGAAAATTCCTTACTTTGCTTAAAAAGTGACTAGGGAGGAGTAGATCAAGAAGGTAATAATCTGATTGCTTCCAATTACACCACAAAAGCATGTTATGAGGAAAAAGAAAATTCCTTGTGCTTTTATAATTGCTTTCAATAATTTCACTCAACGCTGTTGCAACAGATGTAATGGCAAGCTTGAGAGAAAACTATGTGGTTGTCATTCCTCTGTAATGAGTGCATCTCATTTAATGCCAGGTTAAATTCTTCATGAGATATTAATGCTCACCTTGACCTTAACTTCTAACGAAGATACCAGTGCTTTTAACTGTTTCTATAATGTGCTTACCATTTTCCTTGCATCAGTATCAAAGATTAATGTCTGGTAATTTATATCAGTCAGGGCTTGAAATTTACTATAATTTCTGAAAGAGAAAGAGTTGTTTGGTTATTATGCAGATTTTATATGTTGCATTAATGTTATGTTTTAATGGTAAAAATATATTTACGGGTGCCCCTTGGCGATTTTTGGCAGTACATGGACACAGAGTTTGTGCATTTCTTTGACTTGTTATCGTGCCTTTTGTGCCAAAAATCACCACTACACAAATCCAAAATAACAAGTCTAAGAATTGCACAAACTCGGTTCCCATGTACACATCGACCTATTTTCACTTAAAAAAAAAAAAAAATCAGAAAATTGCTCAAACTAGGCATAGTGCACTCCCTTTGTCCATGTCACTTAAAAAAATCAAAGGAGCAGCCAACAAAAAACATATAATCTCAATAAACTACATTTTAAATCAAAGAATGAAATAACATAAAAAAGGAAATTCCTCTTAGCACGACACAAAGGAAATATACACTTACCTTGTTTATGAATTTACATGTCTTCTGTCAAACAAAATTCCTTAACAGTAGCCAAAAAGTATCTAAAGTAGAATCTGTATACTGGCATTACCTCATAAATTCACAAAATAAGGGTAAAAAATATCCTCCGTAACGACGTTTGACCATACGCATTTCCTTCCTACAAACAGGACATTTTTAATAATGGCTATTAAGTAAATCTTCATTTACACACCAGTCAATTAATGCTTTTTTCCCTTTCATTCCAAATCGTACAGAAACTCTAAATTAGTCGTATCACATTCAGCCATTTTACCGTGTAAACCACAAAATAACAACGTACTTCTTACCTAAAATTCAACACACACTTTCCAAATCTTTTCTCACAATTACAATTGACGGCAATCCCACAATTAATTGCATCATAATAGGGTTTCCATAACATTCAACTACTCAGGTTTCCATAAATGAAACAGCAACTTGGCGATAAATGAAGCAGCAACTTGGCGATAATCCAAGGGGCACCCTTAAATCTATTCTAACCGTTTAAATTTTTGGCGATAATCCAAGGAAAACCCTTAAATCTTTTTTTACCGTTTAAATTTTTATATGGGGCGTAGTTATTCCTTTCTAAAAACATACTTATAATGAAGGAAAATTATGTAATAATAAGAATAAAAAAATTATGTAACATGTCTATCATTTTTCTTTCCTCCAGGTGTTAACTGGCTGTTTCTTCATACATTTAGGTTTCTGGAAATAATAAAGCTACTGGAAAGTTCCTTACCGGTTCCATATTATAAAAGTTTTACTTCATAAGCTTTTAAAAATGTTAAAAATATCTGTTACGTTTTTATGCAGTTTTGTAAGTTTTAAGTATTTTATATTATGGTTTTAAGTTTTAAATGTTTTAATGCATTTGTTTTACGTATTTAATATTGTGTTTTTTCATGCCATCTCTTCAAATGAGTAGAGTTCTGAGGAAATGCCACAGTGAGAGAATTTGGGTATGAAATTTAAAAACCTATTGTTATAATAATAATGTTTTTAAGGCTGAACATTATATATAAGTGTTTAACCTTTAAAATACATTATTTTCTCCAGGACTTTGAAGAGCTATTTCTAATTTTTTTTTTTTTTTTTTTTTTTTTTTTTTTTTTTTTTTTTTTTTTTGTTATGAAATGTTTACATATTACTTAGGTTCAAAGAAAAGTCCTTGTGCAATAATTTGATTTCATAATGAACTCTCTTAGACTACGCATTAGGTGTATCTGTAGTAATTGTACATATTGAGTTGAAGTAAAGTGATTGAAATGCAACCTACTGAAAAATTAGGCAAGTTATTTAGTGACTTTGTGTAATAAAGTACAACTAGGTGAATTGTAAAGTTTACACTTTCATCTAAGTACAACATCTAAGTATGAATGTATTTAATGAACAATAATTTCCAGCTATACACTAAAGAATATAAAACGATTATAGAATAGTTTGTTCTGATAATAAAATATAGTTAAATTCCCAATATAACTGAATGTTATTTCTATTACATTGATAAATTCTATATTTGTTAAAAATTTGCCACATGCATTTGTGCAATCCCCAAGCCTCGTTTTTTTGTCTCTGTTCAAGTCTGGAATGACAAAAAGCATATAAGACAGAGTCTTAATTCTTGGTAATTGGATGCTGCTGCATAATTTTGTGATTGGTAATTTTTCTTCTGTCTGATATCATTGGAGATTTAGATTAAATCATTTTCATGATTTTTTGCCAGAAGGTGCTACAGTCTAGCTATTCAATCTAATAGTCTAAAATAGTTCATTTCAAAGAAAAAGAAGTGTATGTTTCTTTAGAACTTAAAAATTAATAATAATAATCATTAGTAATATAATAATTAGTGTTCTTTAGAACTTGGATTTTCACTCAAAATTCTTTTTATGTGTGTTCTAAAAAAAAAAAAAAAAAAAAAAAAAGTGCTTTGTGATAATGGGGTTATTTTTAAAAAAAGGCTGCATATCTCCTTTTATGTTCTTGAAGCGAAAATCTTCAAATACTTAGTAGTCACTTTATAAGCTGTCCTCTTATCACAAGAAAAATTTTTGGTAGATCATGAAAATTTTTTGTTTTGTTATATAGTTATGATTACTTATCATGATTAATTTGTTATTAAATATTAGCTAATTGCTATTAATTTATATATTAAAAGTTAAAAGATTGCTCTTATTATTATGGGAGAAAATGTCAACCACAAAGATAAATACACTGTGTGGAAGGAAATAATAAAGGCAAAGAATAAAATTACTTACCATAATTTAAAATATGCCATTTTTGTACTGTAAAATATAATTGTTTGTTATCATATTTAGAATAAAAAACTGGATCATAGTTTCATAATATGTGGTATTTTTTGTCAAGTAAAACTACACAGAAACATTTTCCAATAAAAACTACCATGCAAGTTCAACAGCTACAGGGTACAGTAAAAAGTCCATAATCCGGACGTCCATTATCCGGAATGATGTATAATCCGGACCTCAAAGCCATAAACTTTCGCATGCGCGTAAAGCGTTTACTGATGCGCATAAAGCCAGTAAAGTGTTTACCCATGCACGCTTTCGATAGTGAAGAAAGTGACAGAGAGAAAATGAAAAAATTTATTGAAACAAAAAATTTTATTGAAAACGAAAAAGTTTCGATTTACAAGTTAGTCGGTATTCTCGACACACCAATTACAGAACTTGAACAGTGGAACTTTGTAACTGAACAAGAAATTATGTCTGTTTATAAAATTAAAGAGAAAGTATTACCACAAAAAACGAAGCAACTTAAGCAATAATTTCTGCATGCTATCTTACCAGATTTAAATTGATGATCTATAATCCGGAATCGCCGAAGTCTCGAGGAGTCCGGATTACGGACTTTATACTGTATTATGTTTTATGAATGATTTACTCTGTAATTTTAGATCTCTCTGTAAGATTGAGTAATATCATACATTTATCATTGTATCGATTATATATTATACATAATCCATCCATTAGCCAGTATACTCAATTAAACAATCAAAATATAATTGAAATTTAATTTTATTACTTTGTATTCTTCTAAACATTTCCTTTGCCTCTTCCCTCCTTTTTATACAAAGTAAAGGAAGTATTGTAATCGCAAAAAATTTTAGGTATCATATTCAGTGGCGGCTCGTAGCTAAAATTAGTGGGGGTGCTGTTCCAAAAAAATTTAACATTTGTTTTAAAATTGTGTAAAAGGAAACAAACATGCATAAAAAGAAAATTTATATTGAAACATTATGAAAGCTTACGAGGAAAAACTAAATATTTCTTAATTACTTTAATCTAAACTGTTACAGTTCAATCTTTATCTATTTATTTAAAAATGAAATCCATTCTTCTTGTTTTAATTTGTGCGAAAAGATCAATAATTTTCTCCTTGATCTCTGGATGACAACTGAGGAAATTTTTCTTTATTGAAAGTAATGCAAGCGAATTTAGTCTTTCTGAATTCCTAGTGCTTCTTAGTAAAGTCTTCATTCTTTTCAGTGTTGAAAAGCAGCGTTCTGCCTCTGATGTAGTTATGGGGACTCTCAAGAGAATTTTTATCAATTTCGTAATTTCACTAAGATCATCACATAAATCATCTAGATTATTTTCAAAGATAAATTTCAGTAGCTCAATTAATTTGCAGTACTCATGGATATCAGACCTACAATAGAATACTTTTAGTTCAGTTTCAAGCTTTTCTTTGTCAATCATTGGATATGCTTCAGTGGTCAGTACTATTTCTTCTGTAGAATGTTCATTCCTAAAACTAGTGAAGCATTTCTTGTTAAACAATTTAGCAGCTGTTAAGTGTTTAGTGGAAGAATATCTGTGCATTATATCAATAACATACTCGGAAAAGTGACACAACGTTAAAAAAATTCCCCTTTACACGTAATTTAAAATCTGAAACCTTTCAGGTTTTTTATTTATTTTTTTTTAATTTATTATTATTATTAAAAAATTTTCCTCCCTCCCCACAGTGTACATATGTGTCTGGCATAACTCAAAAGTAGCCTTAGAATGCTGAAATTTTGTATATGGGACTGCTATAAATGGTCTCCTTAACGAAAAAACGTTTAAAGAATATACTACGATCATTGCTGATCATTGCAAACAGCCGGTATAGTGGCTAATGACGTAAACTACTGAATTGGCTTCCGGCCCAGGTATGTAAAATAACTATGCGGAATTGAAATGCCAACTCGGCAGGAGTTTTAACTGCCAAGCAGCTACAGCCTAAGGGCCTGGTCGGCAGCTCAAAAACCATTTAATAAATCAAAGATAAAATTAGAGAATCACAATGCCCATCATGTACTACAAAGCGAATTCCTCATGATTGTACGTAGTACATAAAATACAATGCATTCATTCCAAACCCTCAAATAGCACAGCATATCTCTTGTTACAAAATATTGCAGAAAATTTTACTATATGATGTTATATTACAGGTGATTTGAGTTGCATACCATATTGTTGCTCTGTTGTAATATAAACAAGACATGCTCTCTCTAGATGTACTTTTGCAATTCTGTATTAGTTAATCCACATATAAATAATGGGAAACAAACCACAAGATGTGTCCAGCCTAGTGAAAAGAAGGGTAAGTATGAATGATGGTAGAGTAGAACTCCAATTATCTGAATAAACTGGGACCGGTCAGTATTCGGATAATTAGATTTTTTCCGAAGAAAGGAGTCTACGTACACTTTAATTACTGTATATTGAAAATGGGAGAAAAAAACTATTTCCCAAGAAAAAGAGGTTTCAATTAATTAAAATGAAGTGCTGAAAGTCATTGCTTTTGAGTATCTCGATCAAAATAGGCTATTTGACTGTCTTCATCCATTTTCAGGCAGACCAGTCGCGCATCCGCTTGACTATGAGAAGTTGCATATTGTCATATTCGGGCTGACGTTCCATCCACTTCATCATAGTTTCAAAGCCGGCAAATGCTTCACCGGCTGATGAGCCCGTGTCTGCTTCAACTTCAACATTAAGGTCATCTTCTTCCTTCACACATTCTTCTCTCATAGTTTCAATAAGTTCATCATCATTTAGAATTTGAAACGTGACGAATCACATACCATCCTTTCTGCTGTATCCTTAGCACTGACCTTCTCAACATCCAGGAATTTTCAGAAGAATGTTTCTTAAAACCTCAAGTGACAAATCATCTTCAACTGTCTCTTTCCATTCCTTTTCTTGAGCTTCTTTTTCCTTTTTCTCCTTTTCCTTCTCTTTTTCAGTTGATATCGTAGTACGTTTCAGTCTTAATTTTTTTCTTAAATTATGAAAGCGATTCGGATAGTCAGAGTTTAGATAATTGAAATTGTACTGTACTGTGCTTGCATACAGTATTATATATATAGATAATAAAATGCAATAAATAAAAATATGCATGCAAATATTAGCAATACAGTACTTATGTCCAAATATTAAAACAAATTCATGCTACCAAAGTATTTACAGTACAAATAAATGTATATAATCTTAACCATATAATAGAAGTAATGTCCTTATTGTCGCGTACCATTAAAAACACAAAGAATATGCTGATATGCAGGTAAGTTCAAGAAACCCTATGCTTCAATTACTGTTAAAATTTCGACCTTAACTGACGGTCGTACCCATTGCCCCAGGTTCGAATCCCAGAGAATGCATGGTGTCTTTGCGGCAATGAGGCATTCAAAATACATGGCGGAGAGTTGAAAGTTTTCTTGAGAGGTTGTGTAAGGATCTTAAGTTTTACTAACGTTTATTTTATTTTAAATCTTTACTATCACTTCTTATTTTCTACTTCCGGCCAGAATTATAAGCGTGAAGGATTTTATGCAAAGTTTGTCTGGCGAACGCCAAGTACTTAAGTTGTGGCATTTTGCCAAGCAAAAGAGAAGAAGCAGTGAGTTCGAAGCAGGCCGCCTTACCTTAGAAGTTACGCAGTTGCTATTTGCCTTCCAGGCCAGAGGTTTTAATCCTCTTGATAAATTAAACGTATTGTAGTGTTCACAGTCTCTGTGCTACATACGCTTCCTGTTATTATAAGGCCAATCTTCCACGTGTATTATTCTAAAGTTAAATTAGAGTTTAGTTTTATTTTTATACTTTTTTACGTTAGACCCCGAGTGGGGGGTCAGTGTATTCCGAAGTACGGAAGTTATTGTATATAGAGAAAAATAAAGGGTTTTGTATACCCTTCGTCTGTATCCTGTCTACTTACCACAATTAGTGAACATAGCTTTAGTAAGCTCTCTGTTCCGAGTCAGGTCCTTGTATGTTCCCGAAGAAGGTTAGAAGGAACATTGAACCTGATAGTGGCGCCCAACGAAGAAGAATAACCATGGCCGAGTTTCAAGAAGAACCTGTGCTGCCTGCAGAAACGGCTCAGAATCCAGAAATGCCAGCTGCCGCCCTGGAAGGATTTGGTTACATCGTCCAGACCATGCGCGCTTCGATGAAACCAGAAGCAACATTTAATGGAAACTCACCGGTAACCAGTTTTTTGGAAAAATTGGATGACCACTTCATGCTCTACCCCGTGCACGAATTTCAAAAAGTTACCTTAGCTTAAAAAGTCCCACCTATACTTACGAAAATTTCAAGACTGCCCTACTAAAAGCCTTCCCTGTTGTAAGGGATCGTGCGAAATTAGAAACGGAACTTTTTAGTATATATCAACAAAGAATCGAAAACCTCTCGAGCTTTATTTTAAGAAAAATTCACGTCTTTCAAACTCTTGTATGGAAACCGTCCGGATCCTGAAATAATTCCAAGTGATTTTGCCGAGGTTACTTCCCCAAGTGCACAGACTTTATTGAATTAAGAAATCCGACTACACTGGAAAAGTTATTTGAGCTAGCAATCCAGTTTGAAAGTAGAAGAACGGCGGACGTCGAAAGAAGACGCCAATATCAACAGCGAAACCAATTTGGTACGCCAAGACTACAGCAAACTCAAGCATACGGCTACGGAGAAAAAAGCGAATCAGTGGGCAAGGAAACCCGAGCATTCAAAAACAGCCGGCGAACGTCGACAGTTCAATAGCAATCCAGGAAAAAAGTCTCAAGGCCAGGGAAAAAGAAGGAAAGCACGGAAAGGAAAAAATAATTTAAACTAAAACGGATTTCTGCTGACGAGAGGGTGCGGAAATCCGAAGGCCACGAAAACCCCTCTTCCTACAAGTTAAATACAGTAATGGTGAAAAATTTGACTCTTCCGAAGATTGAAGTCTTGGTGAATAATATCCCAGCCACCGCACTCCTGGATACCGGCGCGCAGTGTTCCTGTGTGGCAGAAGTCTTTTTTAGAAAGTATTTTCGCAAATACCGCATATATAAT